GGATGTTGTCACAAGATCTGCTGCTTTTCTGTGTTCGCCCTCATATTAGTTTATTTGTACATCAGTATTTGACTCTCATTTTTCATTCGTCTGATTTCGTTTAGCTGATTCACGACAAGCACGATTTGCTGCGGTTTCTCGAAAGAACACTCTTTTACATTCAACATAAAGAGAATTCAAAGAATCTGGCTGATCTGTTGGAAAATGCCCTGCGGTACTTGGTCAAGACCAGAATGGTGAAGTTGAACAAGATCGTTTCGTCAGACCTGGAAACTGCATCCGAGATCTCGTTCGCGATTACCAGCATCGGCAAAGCTGTTTTCAAAAGTTTCCGTAAAAGTTTTCAGACCTGGTTCCATAAGCTAATTGGTTTAAGGCGGCATCGAAATCGACCTCGCCACCCAGGTGTACAATGACCTCAGGAACGCTATATCTTGTTTATGTTTATCGTCACAGCTTCATCTGCTCTACTGCATGGTGCCTTATGATCTTCAAGATTTTCAGTTGAATTGGGATGCGTTTTACGACGAGGTACATATAATGGTCATAGATTCAGTGTGAATGTTTGTGTTCGAAAGTTGAGTTTGACGTCTTATGCAAGGATCACTTGTAATTTGAGACCTTGTGCGGGTTCTGAATCCTTTCTTCATGGTGATTGATAACTTTTAATTCGAAAGACCTGTTTGAACATCGTCAGTTGCACTGAATGAAGTATTCCACAGAAAATGGAATGTATTTTAGTATTCGGTACTTCAGTGCACAGCTTGAGGATAAACCCGCGAATTTACCAGCTTGGAACAGTCTGTTTCTTTGTTCGCTCTATCTTCATCCAGTTCCTACGGGTTTTTGACACTGCAGCAATCATATTATCATCGGCATATTTTAAGCACGATTGGAGTAGTTCAAGTCTGAAGAAGTTGCTTACAGGGTGAAAGTGTGGGGTGAATGTCATCATAATCCATTTTCGATTCACTGCTGGATAAAGGCCTCACCGACACTTTGCCATAAACTTCTGTTTTCAATGACTGTTATTCTCTGAGACCCACTGAACTTCTTTACCTCAATTTGCTATTTATTTAGAGGTCTTCCTAAGGACTGTTTACTTTCTCGTGGAACCCAGTCTGGTTCAGCGACGGTCTGTTCTTTTTGCGAAGTGTCCTGTCAATTGCCATTTTGATTTCTTCATTCAGGCAATGACATCGCAGACTGTTATTTGTGCTCCTATCCATTCATTGGTCTTCTTATCTTTTCTTATTATTCCGAACATACAACTTTCCATTCTGCTTTGTATAGTCGGCAGTTTATGAACAGATTTCAGGTTTACGTTTTTAATGACGGAATATAACTAATTAATAATCAATGATTAGATGATAATTAGTGTTGCTGACAGTTTGATTTCCATCGGATTTGACGGCCGTTGTTCATTAATTGCCGTTCTGTACGCCAACAGATTGAGCCCGGTTGATTAATGCATGCCTTCGCTGTGATTGGTCCCGGATTGATGTTTATCGTAGGTGTTGGCTAACTATGGCCAGTGAACTGCATTACTTGTGCAGTGCGAACAGGCTGATTCCTCCCAGTGTTGCGTATGATGCTAACTTTTCTTATTGTAAGCAAATATAGTATGCAGCGGTATACAGAGAAAATATTAATCGCATTTTCTCTCATTCTTCATTCTGCACTACTCAATCATTACTGTTAATCGCGTAGACTCAAAATCAAGCGTTTAGGATCTTAGATAGAGCTAGAATATATTTTTGACGCTTATGATCTATGATTATTGTTATGCCTGTAACGCGTAATTTACCTGTTGTACAGTTGCTCTTTGTAGTTTGATTCCCTTTCCACTGATGAGAAGAAGGTGATGGAACGCATGTCAATCACTGAGGCATTTGTGTTGGACAAAAAGCTTGGCGCAACGTTATCAAGAACTGTTTGTGACATTCGAAATGTTGCGTTGGTTTTGTCGATCGATCGCTTTTAGGACCGTCGCTTCCGACTCTGCGCGAGGATGTACCTCGCCTTGATCCTCAAGCACATGTTCATGGAAAGCGATGTGTGGACGGTGGCTGAAAGGTTCCAAGTGACCAGGGGATTCGTGCAGTCGCTCGTACAATCTGCGGCCAGTTTTGGATCAAGTTTAGTCAGATTCGTCGAGGCAAGTTTGTGCTACGTTTGAGAAAAATATTGCTACAGAAAAGAACGCACTACTTGCATCAGCGTGCTAGAAATGCTAACCTTCTCGGAGCTGAGGCTACCTACTTAACAGACGGTTCATGCAACTGGGAGGAAATGAAAAACGCAAAAGAAAGTTTTTTCTTCCAAACTGCAGTCACTTATCAGAGTTCACGTTCACACGGCTTCTGTTTGCTTGTAGTTGCAAAGAAGTCCGTACAAGCAGACCATGGCCCCGTGATATTTTAGTATGTGTAGTGCAAAGCACCACTACTTTGTTGGGTCGAACAAAGTTCCTATGTGTTGGGATGTTAGTTTCCTTTATGTTTCCATGAAGCTTACCGTTTGCGGTAGCCTTCTTTTTTTCGCGTATGATATGATGCTGGCGGTATTCTGAAAGGACAACAAAAGTTGTCACTCACATATTAAACAAGTTAAAGCGATTAAAGTTACTAAATAGCATAAGGCAGTTAAGACATGATTAACTCTGAATGAAGGCAATATGTTAAGAGTCCATTTCTGGTCGACACAGTTGTCCTAGAAATCACGTTTTTTGGGTAAGATCAATGATGCACGTAACCGTAAATGAGAGAACTAATATTCAATAAGCCTTGGTAAGAAGTCAAAGGATGAATTGGATCAGCCAGGATCGAATTGTCAAAATTTCGTAGGTGCTGTTACGAAACTCCACCTCGCAAAAATCCCGAACTCCTCGGTCTTACAGTTATTCATAAATGCCAGTAGTGCATAGAGGTTTCCAGAAAGCTGCAGAAGTACTGTGTAGAGGAGGGATGATGGGTATAATGCAGGTACTCGTGAACTCTTTCAATTACACGAAGATTCTTTCAGACGGTCGAGACTATTCTTTTAACTCACCTGATCATGGCATTCACCCGATATTCCAAATTGCAGCTGATCCGTCCAACGTGTTTATCACGTTGAATACAGTGTTGCCAAAATCACAAGTTTGTGAAGAAAATTCTCTCACATACTTGTTCGTAGACTTTCGACAGTGAAAACACAGTCCACAGATTTTATGGGATTCGGCGTGACGCCATTCTGACGCATCCACACTCCTATTGTTTAACTGAAGACAGGCACACAGGCAACTTTCAAATCCAAATCGGGATTTGACAGGGGTCAGAAGGACAGTATCGTCGTTGCACTTTAAACAGTCTTATCACCGTTTCTGTACCGCTACCAATGTGCCTTATTTTAAAGCCTACTTTTACAATTCTATGACAAACACAGTGTATGAACTCCTGTTTCCATTTCTACAAACTGATATCGAAAGAATGGCAACAAAGCCACACGATCGGGTCTTGACCTCACTCTCTTTTCGACCGTAAGTACGATTGTTTATGAGCGTATTTATCCAGCTCTAAACGCGGTTGTACCTTGTTGATGTGCAATCCGGTTTGATTCAGTTAGCTAATAGATCTGCCATGATGTATACCATAAATAGTATATATGTAGGATGTAGTAGTCTTCTAGGATTAGTAGGATTCTAGGATAGTATAATTATACAATATTGTAGGATTCGTAGTCTAGAGATGTAGTATGTATTAATATGCCCATGATTCCTCATGATGTTAACCAGTAGCTCTAAGGCATACCATGATAGGAGTGTCCATAAGGATTGATTTGGCGTTGCGTTTACGTCTTTTTGACTGTTTTATGTTCTGTGCCAATATGATACTTATTGCATCGAATAACGCCAGCATATATATGTTCGATATTATATGATTTACGCCTAACTTTTGTTTTTCTGTGGTACTGATGAAGTTAGGTGCTTTAGAACCTGGACGAATTATGGGCATTGAAATCTCTGCTTCCTGATTTCGTTAAGCAGGTCGCTTACTGCACTCATAGCGAGTTAATTCCGCTTATGGAAATTAGTGGAGTGAAGAAGGTGAGGGTGCGTTCATTGTTATTTGTTATCGATGTTACATTTGTCCTTTCTTGCAACACCGTACATTATAACGCGTAGCAGTGAAAATCAGACATGCGGACTCCTACTCGGGTTTCTGGGGAAAGGTAGCCGTTTGGCCGTCATTGAGTATTAGTTCTGCAAAAATGCCAATTATCACTTTAAAATAAATTGTTTGCTTTCTGTCACAATTTTTAAAGTACTTTTGTGTTAGCATTAGTTTCACGTGGAAGTTACGAATAACGATTACGGACTAATTTGCCGGTGTTACGATTTGACCTTACTGCTTTCACAAATGCTTATTTTTAGTCAGTTATCAGGTAGGTCAATGCGAGTTGCACTAAGTGCACTCATCTGATACAATGACCGTATGTCTCACGTGCTTTTGGCATGACCACAGCAAAGTATCATGTTTTCCCTATTGTACTTCGGCCGGTGATGCTTCAAAGCACAGTTGGGTGAGTTCCTTACTCAAAGGAACTAGCGGTTAATAAGGGAACATTTTGGCAAATCGAGGCTTTGAACCCCGCCAGCGCTAAGTTGAGAAGCAAACTGCTAGCTCTCTGCACCAGTGACCTCCCTCCCTCCCCCCCGTAAGGTCAACCGATAGACACTGCTTATGGCTAAAATATTACAAGCAATTATGTAGAATATTTATTCAGCAAAATGTTCCACAGATTTTCTAATCGCGATGGGAGTACGTGAAAGTTCAGTTTAAAGTACATATAAATTGAAGTTTTGGTAACTGTACTACAAAGAATTGCTTCAAGTAACCGATGATGTGACCTGGCATCTATGCTCCGCATGTAATATAATGCACGGTCCGTCCATCTCTGCACTGTTTAATGAACTTTCATAAAATGAAGCAGTATTGGCTGATGACAGAAACGCAGATCAGCGCTGCACCATATACCTCTAGCGGTAGCTGATTATGAGTGTAGGAGAAATCAATATTTCATGAGTGACAAAGTTTCCTTCTTTTATGAACGTGATTCCTCCAGCAATTGAGGCATAGTTTACTAAGTTGTATACACACTGAGACCGATGCCTTAAAGCATAATTTTGGTATCGGGAGAGTTGCTGTGTAGCATTAAGTTGCTTATGTTGCGGTCCCTTTAATGTCCGTGCGTTGCGACCAATTGATCTACAGAAATCGAACTGATAACGACCATAGGTCAGCTGACTCCGCGCGTTAGCATTCCGCCGCCGCTTATTCGCTCGCGGCGCAGGATGATAAAGGAACCAACTGCGCCTAACGTCTGGTTGGCCAACTGGCTCACGACAAGGAAGAAGGTCGTCCAATCGGTGACGCTTATTTGCCCCTTGACATTAACGTATTATTAATTATTATCCACTCAGCTATCGAGTATATATGATGATAAATATATACGATAGTAAAATAATAATTTATTTCCGTATACTGTTGATATTTAATTTCAGGGTAGAGCTGTTCAGTTGTTTAAGAACGGTTTCACAAGCGTAAATGCCGTCGCCAACAGTTCGGTCTCCACTTTGGTCAGAAGTATACAGCACCTGTCCCGTGCGCAAGCAAAGCAGATTATAGACAGCGCGAAGGTAACACGTTTTAGTACAGTAGCTGTGGCGGATTATGGTCGGTACTGATCTGTTTTCAAGATGATCATGCACGAGAAGATCGAGATACTTCTGGAACAGGCGGAGTCTATGCTCGGCGCAAAGAATGATGCGGATGTTTCCGTGGACGACATCGTCGCCACACTTCGACAGTCGGTTTGACAAGTGTGACGTGGGATGCTGTCGCTAAATATGAACGATCACCCTTGGTCCCATCGCGACCGTTCGATCACCTTCTGTGATATACACGCTGCCAGTATGAAACTTTTACGCGTGTCCGTTAAGCAATGCGAGTCGTAAGCCTATATGGTGTGAATGTATTTTGATGTTTTCTGTTTTCTTTTGGCAGGAGTTCATTTGTTGAAATATTTTTTTGTACTTCCACACCAGATGGAATAACTTTCTAAAGTCTAAACCATCTGTTTGGAGATGGTGACTAAACAGCAACCAATTAATAAAGAAAACACGATTTTTCAGTGCTTCCTTTCACGTATTAATAGTCAAAACACTTTCTATGGAACAACATACACCAGGTCTCTGACACATTTATCGAAATGGATATCGTTTGTGTTGGTGGCTAATATGTTTTGGCTGCTGAAACACTGACAGGGTAATTAAAAAGACTACGTAAAACAAGTGAAATGGCAATAAATGGTATTTCACGCCTTATTTATATAGCTTGTTAATATTTTTTTCAAAAATGAAACTAAGACTTAGTATTTCTTTGAAACGCGTAGTGCACTGAAAACTTGAAACGGAGTTGTACTTCACATTACCTCACAAAACAACATAATATAACAAAAAAATGTTCAAAATCACAAATACAAGAATATAAAACAAACACAGCGGAACAAGCAACAAATATATCAAGCAACAGAAAAACCAAGTACAACCTGTCATTTATTCTTCAAGTGCAAGGTGAAGGCGCTCAGATTGTCGTTCAGATGATCGTACATGGTCTTCAGCCAGTTGAGAACCATTGTGCTTTTTTCTTGCGCCGTCGTCCGCTGACCGAACTGGCGCGCTACATCCGGAGAAGATGGGAAGTGACCCGTCCTGGCCAGCGCCTCGACTACCAGCAGCTTCAGTTCGGTCACCTGTGTCGGCGTCATGTTACGGTATGGGCTGATGCGAAACTTTGTCTGTGAAATGACGTTCGAGGAACGTCGTAGCAGAACTGCATCCGACAGGCAGCGTTTCAGAGGAAGTGCCGGTGAATCGGTCACTTTGTGGGTGCCATTATGAACCGGCGGTTGCCGGTGTTCGGTCCCATCGCCGCGACTGCTTTCATCGGTCAGTTCTGGGGAACTGAAGCTTCGGTACAGGTTTGGACTAAGCAAGATCGACAGAGGCTCATGACCGTACAGCTTTCGCTTAGGTTCGCTCTTTCGGCCACTGTCCCCGGGACTGCAGTCTTCAGACCGACGACCGCCACCGAGCCCATCACCGCTGCTGTCAGCGTCGCCGTCGCCAAGGTCGTCGCTGCCGCACGGTTTAACCATCTTCAGCAACTCATCGTATGGAAAACGGACGTACATGCAGTCATTCTGTTGGGCCTCGTCGGTATCCAGGTCGGACAGCGCGCTGCGCTCGGACATCAGACTGGCCACAGAGACGTTGGACATGTCGGTCAGGAAACTGTCGCGGCTACCGGACCGATTCATCCCCAATGGGATGCTCAGAGAATGTAGGTTGGCAAAGGGCAAAGAGTAATTCACCTGACGATCACCCATGCAGTTCCTAAAGAAAAAAGTAATGGCAGAGGGTGAGGCAACAAATTAACGAGGAGACGGCGCATTTTCAACGAATTTTCGCGACAGGCTCCTAAACAAGGTTGAGGCAATATGAAAAGACGATGTAACGATCGATAGACGCATGGTTTGCCTCACGTCACAAATCGAACCAACGATCTATCCAATCCACGATTGCTTTGGTTCGTACCGACTATTTACGACAGAAGTAGATTAGCTGTTGACTGCAGTCATTTACGTGAATCAACGTCGTTAGTACATGCAAAGGGCTGTTTAAACACAGCGAATGTCGCTTCGATACAGCCACCGTGATATGTCCTGTTTAGTTAGGAACAGAGACCAAACCCCTGAATCATGAATCGTTCAATCACCAATTTAGAATACCCTGATGTTCTGGGGATTGTACTTAAATCAGACCATTTCACAGTACCTTCGTTATGCGACATGCATCATAGGATGTACAACAGCATCTGTCCGATCTCGGCATCGATCGCCTCAATATGTTTGCAGTACCAACGAGTAACTGTGTTAACTCTCACATTCACTACCTCGTTACACATGTCACCATTCTCTTGCAACACTGCTCAAATACAAAAGAACATTCCAAATGCACCAATAAGAGCGTCGACCCCAGCACGAAAACAGAACTAAACGTTTGACCCTATCGACAGGTGGTTCGCCACCTTCATATAAAATATGGTTGCGGATCTTGTTATGAATTCATAACACAGGCTGCAAACATTTTAAATAAAAAATGCATTGAAATAAGTTAGTTTGTAAACTACAATCGAAAACTACTGCCTACCTCCCGATGAAAACTTTTTTTAACAAAACCTTTGAATTTAAAAAAAAAAACAGTTATTCCGTCCATGATATGATTGGTACTTAAGTACTGTAATGCAAAATAGAAATCCTGTTACGGGGAAATTCGAAAGGCAAGTGTTACTGGAAGGAGGAGCGACTTTCGAATAAATATACAAATTCAGAACCACAGCTATTTTTGTCCCCATGCTCAGTGCCCACACTTTTCAGTCAAATATCAAATAATGATTACCTTCATTCTTTGAACGTTCTTCACACTTTTCATCTAAACCCATAATTACGCTGGTATAAGTTCATATAAATTGCAATGCCAAATAGCTGCTCTGTCCGGATAATCATTCAATAGTTAGCCCGATTAGCTGGCTGCAATGAGACTCGGAATAAGGTGGCAAAATCGAAAGCTTCTGAGCTGTAAGAAGCCACGAACCATTGCCCACATATAAAGTATCATAAAGAATGGTGTAACGTTGCTGCTTCGTGGTACTTGTAATCGTTGCGATTCCTATCAGTTTAGAATGAGATCTACAGTCCATATATATAATTATTCAAACGGGGTTTATTTTTGGTGTATATTCTTACCGACTGAAATATACGTTTAAACATGTCCTTGCTCAATACAACACATGTTCTGCTTCCTTGCACTGCAGGTGCTAATATACCACTTAGCCGTGGTCTGCTCAAACAGTCCCTTAGGCTACTATAAGCAGGGGGCGGCACGCTACGCCATGTAAACCCAAGGTGACAGGTGGATGTCATTCTTACTGGAGGTATTGAAAAGTAGCAATCTGCTAACAAAGCCATAAAAATAAGATTAATCTTAGTATATAAATATTTACATGCATACAATCAACTATGGCATAAATTGGGAAGCGAAGATTATCAACATGCGACACTTAGGAAAGTGGCAGCCTCCCCCCTCATCGTCAGTCTCGTTTTTCATGTATCCTTGCAAGCGCTTACAAAACCCGTAATTTCAGGCGTAAATTCGAGTATAAATAAACTCTTCAGAAACACATAAATACGGATTTTTCGAAAATGTCTCATCGCTAAGGTGTTGATATCCATAAAATCCCGCATATCGGATGCAAGAATGTTACTTCTGATCGGTTCAGATGTTTAACAAATTGCGTACAGGATCATGACTCACGCGATGCCAGAGAAAGGTTGTGATAATAAATATTTAAAACACAAAAACAGTTGTGAATTCAGATAATTCCGGTGATTTACGAGACATGAAATTCATTTAAAAGTGAAGTGAATACTAACATTACGGAAGAAGTCTAACTTCCATAAAAAATTTATGGGGCCAAGTGAAAGATCAGTTCAACATATTACATATACATACAGCATATATATAGGATACATTTTACATACTACTTACTACCGTTGTTAAAACAAGCACTTATTACTTATATCATAAACATTCTGAGTGATATATAATACCATGTACCAGAAATACACCACGGTATTACGGGTTAGATAGCAATTTGCTAGTTTTCAACGCAGTTATAATACAACATCAGAAAGCACATAATATTCACTTAACGTACTAGACTAAAGCATGTTTGTTAACGAATACACTGTACGATA